AGAACCGTATTCAGAGCTATAAATAATTAAAATTTGACTGATTTCATTTTTCATTACGCCGGGGGATAAATAATATGATATATAATTTTAAAAAAAAAAATGTTTTCACCGGAAAATTTCAAACCAGATAAGTATTTTTCAAGTAATTAATTAATATTACGAAAATAGTTAATGTTTATGATTTTTTTACTTAACTGAATTACTAGTAGTAGGATTATTAGAATAAACAAATCAAGCGTTTTAATGTAAAGTAATTAATTAAATATCTTTTATGACTAACGTTTTATAGCGAAACACTGTATTTTTAATTAAATTTTACATAATATGAAATTTAAAAAATTAAAAGATTAATATAAATATTTTAATTCGTTACAGCTGTTAAATGAGACCATTCAATGCGCTAATCTTTTCAATAAAAAGTTTATATAAATAAGCATACTCCGACATATATGTGTCAAAAAAAATTATTAAAATATATATATTATAACAATAAGCACCTTCATTAGTAAATAAAATACATATTCTGGGGAATATAAGTGAAACTAGAAATCAATGTTATAAAATATCATTTGCTAAAATATTTTTAAATTAAAATAAAAATTTAAAACTTTTTATATACGTATCGTTTAAAAAAGCAGTGTTGTGTTTTTATTTATTGGAAGGACAATTTGATTACAAGTATTGAATAATTCATTTGTATATGATTGAATACAAGACATTGAATCTAATGTATTTATTAGGTGGTCGTCAGTATAAAAAAAAAAAAATTCCATTTTAATTTGAATACAAGTGTAATTTTATTTTTTAAAATAAAATGCTCTAATATTATAAAAAAAAATTATTTTTATTTTGTCATATAATTATTATAAAAACCCATAACAAACGTTTAGGTTATGTACTATATCAATTTAATAAGTACATCTGTTTTAATAAAATATATTTATTTATTTATTTATTGTATGTAATGATTTGTAATATATTAAAAAAGCAATTACATAAAATTATTAAAATAATAATTAATTTTTAACTAAAAATCATTATCAAGTAAACTTTACCAAGTTATCATATTACGTTAGATGTTGACTATCGAGTTTACTTTTATTTTAATTGTAGGTAAAAAATTTGAATATTATATTATTTAATGATTGATGTCATGATTTATTATTACGTACAAATATTTATAATAAACAAATCTTTTTAATTTTTATAGACAAAGATTGAATAATTGTTATATGATGGTATTTTTTAATTATTGCTGAGTATATTAATAATTACTATTTGTAAAAGATAATTTTTGAATTTTGTTTAATATATTTAAAATTCCATAAATCGTTTCATCAATATATTTTATTTGTTTCATATGTTAACTAATCATGGTAACACTATAAATAATAAAAAGCTCGTTGGTTTTATAAGATATTTAGAAACAGACTTTTTTCCGTCATTGATTAAACGGATAATGTCGATAAATCTAGATTCAAACGTTACATCTATTAAACTGAGCAATGAAGAATATTCATACGCATATGATATAATTACTCATAATATAATGGATATAAAACCAAATTATGAATTACATAACGTAATTATTAATAAGTTCAAACAAATTGTTAATCAATATGGATTTATTGAAAAGGATATTAAACTTAACAATTATTTTGATTACTCAATCATTTTTTTACGATTCAATGTGTTGATTGAATGGATCGAATTATTATTTATTTCCTACAAGAAATATTATTGTATACTTATGAATTTCCCGAGTTTAAAGGAAGAATTTTACCTTATACTTAAAAAAAATATCATTGAAAATAATATTGACACGAAAATGTCTCTTGATGCGATTTTTAAAAAGTTTCTTGATTTATCATCATCGATCATTATTTCAATTGTAACGCAACTAGAAAAAGATGATCAACGCATTAGTACTATAAAATCAACTATCGAATCGGGTAGAGATTTTGTTTTGTTAAATCTTAATTTAAAATCTTTTTTAAATTTGCTTTATTATAATATATTCGATAAGAAACCTGTCATCGATTTGTTTCAATCTAATTTTTCTGAAGAACTATTATTAAGAGTAAATGATTATTTTATTAAACTACAAATAAAACATTTAATACAACTACAGGAGATATTATCAACTCTATTTTCAAAACATACCAAAAATACAATATTGTGTTCTTTATTTTACATATCATCAGATCAAATTATTAATAGTCAATTGATTTGTCCTATCTTTTTTAGAAATAGTGTAAAATATAAACTACAAATTAATAAGATAATGAATGATATTTTAAACGCGTTTAAACAAGAAAAAAAGTTTAATACTGTACTATTGAAATTTAAAGAAATTGCTGTTTTATTCACTTCTACTGAAGCTCAAATAATTTTATTAAAAATAGTACAATTATTTTTTTCTTATAAAATAGAATTAATTAAAAGCAATATAGATACACATGCAGAATTACGTTGTCCCGATATTCTAATTCAATTTTTGATTGACTATCTGCTTGTTTTTGAAAAACTATTATTTTTATTAGATATTGGTTTTATAAAAATAATAAAATATTATTCTACGATTTTAAAATACATTTTTGATCAAAATAAGATTTTAGAACTATCGAGTTATCTACATACTGTTTATTCTGCAGCTCAATTAGATAAAGTACAAAAAATTCAAACTGTTCAAAATAGCAAAAATATTTTTAAATTACTTTTAGTATTTTTGTATATTATTAATGAACCTAATATTTATTTTTACTTCGTAGAAGTTAGATTATTCTTTTATCTATATTTTCATTACAAACTCAATATACTAGAATCAAAGCGAATAAATAACGAATTAACTAGTTTACAGTATTTGCAAAACGTTTTTTATGACACTAAGGTAGAAAGATATCAATTCTTATTAGATTTATTATTTGGGATTACTATAAATACTTTTGAAACCAAGAATATTTTCCTAATGAAAGATAATAATATGATTTTATTAATAAATCATGCGTTATTTCCCAAAATTCAACTTGAAACCACATTTGACTTCAATTATATAAATAATAATTTAATTCGAAAAGTTTTCCATAAAGAAAAATTTATTAATGAGTACTTTTACTTGAGTTCTGGACTTTGCATAATTAAATTAAAAATTGGAGATACTACTGTTATTGGACCTGCATCAAATCTTTTAATATATTTGCTATTTAATAAATATCAGAACTTATCATTAAAGATCATTAAAAAGTTTTTCAAAAATAAAACGTATGTTAAAAGTATTTTGCAATTGTATAAGCATAAGGGTCTGATTAAAATTAATAATGATGAGATACTATTAAATGAATTATTAAATAAAGGTGTTATTTATATTTATCAACCATTTCAAGCTAAAAAAGCTATAAATAAAAAATTTAATACAAATAATAATAATTTGAAAAAATTTGTTAATGACAATAACAGTCTTTTATCGAAAGAATATAGAATTAAAATTGAAATGATCAAGATTGTCAAAAAAAATAAAATTATTAATAAAAAATTATTGTTCGAATACATCACTTCGCATAATATAGATATGAATCTAGTAGAATCATGTTTTGAAGTTTTAGTAAAAGATAAATATATTGTTTGTGAAAATGATAACATAACACTTTAAATTGTTAATTATAGTGTTAAAATATAACAAACGCTGTATATTAATATGAGCAAACTTAAACATTAAACTATTCATTGCAAGGGTGCAGTTTATTTTTAGAAAAGTTTTTGCTTTATGACGGAATCAACTACTCATGGTTGGGATTTTGTTTATAGCACATATAAAAATGAATATTTACATAATCCAGTAATATGTCATAAAAAAAAAACCAATTTTGATGAAGCAAATTCAATACCTGTATGCTTGTCGGAAAACACAGTGTATGATCGACTCTTTAATGATTTTCTTAAGAAGCGAATGAATTCAAAAAATTCAGAATTATTTAGTTCAGATAATTCTGTAAAGCACATCACAACTGATTGTCAAAGTGATTTAGTTCAATCTTCTAAGTGGTTACTTCAAAATAAAGACGAATCAAGTACGTTACACGAAGTATTAAAGAATGTGAAAAATGCCCTTAAAAAATTAAAAAATATTCGAAATTTAAATATCGAGAAATCTAAAATGTATAAAATTCGGAATACAGCTTTGAAAAATTTGTACAATGCTAATTCTAAAGTACTGAATTTTGAACATAGTGAGTTAAAACCATTATTTGTCTCTATGCAAGATTTAACTGAATCATTGATATTTTTAAGTAGTAAACCTAATCCTAAAGAGTATATCTCGATGATAACGAAAAAAATCACTTTTTTTAGTGAGCAACAAAATTTATTAATAGCTGAAAGAGAGACTATCTCAAATCTTGAAAAAGATTCCCTTCTATCGTTACAAGCAAAAATTAAAGATATAGCATCAAATATTTTAAGGAGTATTCTTGAATCAGAAGATTTACTTGAGCTTTTAGAAAAAGATGAAGAAGGAAATCCTAAGTGGGTTTCAGAAAATTCAATCTCAGCAGAAATAAAACAAATGATATTAGATAAATTTAATTCTAGATCATTGAATAGAGATTTATTATCACTTCGTCGTAAAATAAAAGCTGATATAAATGTTGTAGCTCTTCTTAATTTTCATGAATTAATAAAATTGGAAATACAACTATATGAATTTTTTCATCAAATTGGATTGCCTTTTGATCCAATAAATAACTATAAAAATTATTTAGTTGATAACATTGAAAAATCCGAATGGTTTAGAAACATATCTATGACAAACACTTTAAAGTATCAAACAAATCTTCATCAAGATGTAAGAAATTTAGTTCAGTCAGCAATTGAAGAAATGGCTACTATTTCGCAGTCTAAAATTATTCAGTAATTTTTATTATTTTTATATATTTATTTTATTTAATTTAATTATTTTACAATCAGACGCGTCAATCATTTTCTTAGACTTTGAAATTTATAAAATGAGTACGAGAGTAATTAATTCATCAGGTGATTTGTTGACAAAAAAAGATTCAAACAATGATATTATTTCCACTAATATTCAAGTCGTAAAATCGATTTTAGATATATTGAAATCTTCGCTTGGTCCTCTCGGTCTGGATAAATTGATTACGACTGAAACTAATGAAGTATTGATTACTAATGACGGGGCAACAATATTGAATAAAGCTCACTTAACACATCCTGTTGCAAAAATTTTATGTGAAACAAGTCATGCTCAAGATTTAGAAGTAGGTGATGGAACCACATCTGTTGTTATATTAACAGCTTTTTTACTGTCTAAAGCTAAATGTTTAATAGATAAAGGCCTTCATCCTTATACAATTATTGATGGATTCGAAAAAGCTAAATCTATTGCCTTACAAATTGTTCAAGATAATGCATATAAAATATCCTTAGACGATCGATCCGTTTTTTTTGAAGTCGTATCTACAACTCTTCGATCAAAGATTGTCAATCATCTTTCTAGTCGATTAACTGATATAGCAATAGATGCATTACTCCCATGTAACTTGCAAAAAGACATTCAAGTAAATATAGACGACATCGCAATAGTAAAAAAAAATACAGGCGTATTATCGGACTCTAAATTAATTAATGGTGTTTTATTACGTAACAAAACTGTTTACAGAACTGGGTCAACTTGTTTACATATTGAAGACGCTAAAATTGCAGTTATTCAATTTCCCATTTCATTACCAAAAACTAATATTGATCAACAAATTCAGATAAGTGATAATTCTTCTTTAGATAGATTGCTAAAGCAAGAAAAGATCCACATTTACAAGATGGTTAAAAAATTCAAGGAAATAAAATGCAATTTGATATTGATTCAAAAAAATATTACTGGAGAACAAATTAGTAATTTAGCAATTGATTATCTAAATAAAGCAAATATTTCCGTCGTTTCCGGCGTTGATCGTGATGAAATTCGTAAATTATGCAAAGGTATGAAGTGTGAAGCTATTTCATCATTTGAACTTTTATCGGCTGATAAGCTAGGATCAGCTAAGTTAGTTCAGGATTTCGCTGGTGAATCAGATGCTGTTGAGATTTTATTTTCTGCCAAGTCACGTGTTAAAACAATAGTCATTCATGCTTCTAATACTTTAACATCAGATGAAGCTGAACGAAGCTTAAGAGATGCTATGTGTATTGTAAAATCTTTAATAACATCAAAAGCTATTATTCCAGGAGCTTGTGCTATTGAAATTACTATTGCAAACTTGCTTAAAAAGAAAGCACTTGAAACTGTTGGAGTCGATGCTGAAATATACAAAGCATATGCTGAATCACTAGAAAATGTTTTAATAACATTTGTTGAAAATTCAGGAATGCATCCAATCGATGTATTGGCAAAAATTAAAACAATGCATGAAAATGGAGAATCAACAGTAGGGTTTGATGCTGTTACAGGTGAAATTAGAGATGTATTTCATCAAGCACCAAAAATCATTCAACCAATAAATTTATTAAAGTCTATTATTAAACTTTCTACAGAAACAGCACAATTATTATTAAGAATTGACGATGTAGTCTTATGTAGAAATTAGTTATATTAAATAATTTTTTTATGATTGAATTATATTTAATTTTTAAGCCAATTTATCAATAATGACCGTTCATCAACTACAACAAATATTAGTTTTTAAAAATAAATTAGACGAATTGTTAATAAATAATATATACTCTCGAGTTCCGCCCACTGGTCTCATATTTAAAATAGGTGAAAATGAAAAACAAAAAAATTATTTCATTAAATATTATAATTTAGTCTTGGAAGTAATTAAGTTGATCGATACACTGGAGAAAAAGTTATTAGTAAATGAATTTTACGCTGAAATTAAAGATTACAATAGTGTTGGTTTAAATTCGGGTATACTCGAAAATGAAAATCAATTCTATACTAATAATACCATTCCAATACAAAAAACATATATATACAAATTTGATTACTGGAATCCTTTGATAGAATTAACGCCTACAACTTTTCGTTTTTTTAGAAATAATAAAAATAGCTTACAAGAAATTATTTCACGTAATCCGTTAGAAATGTTAGCTCATGAAAGCTTTCAATTTAAGTTCAGTTCATATTTTAAAAAATTAACGCTTGATAAAAATATTAAAAAAATTTCAAAAGGTAAGTTACCGGTATATTAAACATAATGTAGCGAAAAAACAAATAAATAAAATCACACATATTGAAAACAAAGATATTTCAAAATTATTTGGTTTTATGATAAAAAAATAATAATTATATAAAATTACAATACAATTCCTAATAAAATTTATAGTGAAAAACTTTAATTATCTTAATATAATCTGTTATAAAATATTAACTGGGCTAAAATATATTTCAGCTATTAAATGCTATGTATTCTTTTTGCTTTTACATTGTAAAAAATAATCAATTTTTATTTAAAATGATTATCTACACATCAAGTGATAATTTTTATCAAATTGAGTATTAATGATGAACCAATATATTGTATAGATTATTTTGTAAGCAAGTATTCGATGTTAAAGTTTTTTGTGTCAAACAGTAAAATACAAAAATAAAACCTGTCATAAAAAATTACATATCAAATAATATTTATTCTATTTTTCATTATCTGAATCAATGATTTTAGCTCACATCTACATGATTGATTAGTTTATCGAAGCCTTGTAATATATAAACGTTAAATATTAATAAATTGATAGTTTAAATTGACTATAAGTAGCAACTAGTCGTATGAGAATTGCGATGACCGAAGTGGATGAGGGTTCCGAGCGAACAGTGTTTGGACTCGGGTTAGTCGGTCCTAAGGGGATGCTTAATAAGCTGAAACAGTTGTGAACAACGATCCTCGAAAGGGAATAAGGCAAAAATTCCTTAACTGCTAACAACATTTGTGGTGACACAGAGTAGATCGGCTTTGTTATTGATTATTTTGGGAAGCGTTTTCATTGCTTTTTAAATCATTAAGTCTTTGGAATCGAATCAATCGTAGAAAAAGAGTATGATGATGAATAATGGCTTATTTTGAGTCATCCGAACAATAATCAATAACCTATGAAAAGGTAGATTAAATGTGTGTTGTTGGTATCCGTACCCTAAACCGCATCAGGTGTCCTAGGTTTATAACCTCTGGTTTAATAGAACAAGGTAGTTGAGGGAAGTCGGCAAATTAGATCCGTACCTTCGGAATAAGGATTGGCTCTGAGGACTTTATTTAACACAAGATAGCAATAAATTTGAATTGGCTTCGGTCAGTTTGAAGTGAGCTATTTTGAATTAGGCAACTAATGCGTTAAATGTTTATTAAGTCATCTCAGAACTGGTGTGGACAAGGGGAATCTGACTGTTTAATTAAAACAAAGCATTGCGATACGGTACAAACCTTTTTACGCAATGTGATTTCTGCCCAGTGCTCTGAATGTCATCGCGGTGAAATTCGCTTAAGCGCGGGTAAACGGCGGGAGTAACTATGACTCTCTTAAGGTAGCCAAATGCCTCGTCGTCTAATTAATGACGCGCATGAATGGATCAACGAGATTCCTACTGTCCCCAACTACCATCTAGCGAAACCACAGCCAAGGGAACGGGCTTGGCAAAATAAGCGGGGAAAGAAGACCCTGTTGAGCTTGACTCTAGTCTGATTTTGTCGAGTGACTTATGGGGTAGAGAATACGTGGGAGTTACGCAAGTAACAATCGTGAAATACCACGACCTATAATGTTGCTCAACTTACTCTATAAAGTAAAAGTATCTTTTGATATTGTGGAATCAAACGCATTTATTGCGTGATTTACGTAGAGAACATATTCAGATGGGGAGTTTGGCTGGGGCGGCACATCTGCTAAACAACAACGCAGATGCCCTAAGGTTGACTCAAAGAGACCAGAAATCTCTTGTAGATTGAAAGGGGAAAAGTCAGCTTGATTCTGATTTTCAGTGCGAATACGAACTGCGAAAGCATGGCCTATCGATCCTTTAAGTCCAGAAAAGTTCTGGCTAGAGGTGACAGAAAAGTTACCACAGGGATAACTGGCTTGTGGCAGCCAAGCGTTCATAGCGACGTTGCTTTTTGATCCTTCGATGTCGGCTCTTCCTATCATTGAGACGCAGAAGTCTTAAAATGTCGGATTGTTCACCCGCTAATAGGGAACGTGAGCTGGGTTTAGACCGTCGTGAGACAGGTTAGTTTTACCCTACTTATTAATAGTACATTGACAGTAAGGCAACTTAGTACGAGAGGAACTGTTGCCTCAAGCCTCTGGTAACGCGACTGGTTGGCAAACCAGTGTTGCAAAGCTACGCTTGTAGGATAATGACTGAACGCCTCTAAGTCAGAAACCTAGCTGAAAATATGTTCTTATATAGTAGATTAAAATGACTTTACAAATCATATTCAACTCAATAGGATGAATTCTGTGAAAAGATGAAATCCATAAAAAAGTCTACTATAAACATTTCTATACAGACGATTAGAATGCAAATCAATGTTGTAAGCATGAGAGAAAGCTGTGCCTTTCGATCTGCTAAGACTATTGAATTTGCAAAATGGTTAATTCACTACACTATCGTAATAAAGAATTAATAAAAAAATTCGATTTGGGTTTTGATTTTATATATTTTTCTTTTATAAATTTAACAGAGTTTATAGTTTCTATTTATAATATTCCTTTTATAAAATTAAATATTTTTAAATACATAAGTAATAAAATGCCAGTTTACCAAGTATTCGGTAAAACTCAAAACTACGCTTGGGGGAAAATATGTTCAAAATCTATTGCAAAAACATTTGTGTATTCAGAAAATGATCAAAACCGGATTGCTGAAATTTGGTATGGTACACATAACAACGGTACTAGTACTATTTTAGATAATAACTTAGGTTCAATCTTACTTAGTAGCAAATTAAAAGAATATAATATAGAAATTAAATTCATGTTGAAGATTTTAATGATAGAAAAGCCTTTGAGTATACAAGTACATCCTGTCAAAACACAAGCTATGGCTTTGAATTCAATTGACCCTAAAAATTTCCCCGATCCAAACAGCAAAGCGGAGATCTGCATAGCAATAAGTGATAAATTTTATTTAATGTGTGGTTTACGTGACGATAAGTCGTTAAATCTATTTGAGCATACTCCTTTGTATAAGCATTTAAAAAAGAAATTAATTACAAACGACAGAAAAACTTCACTCAGTATTATCGAATTATTTACTACTTTACAATTTTTAGAAAAAAATGAATTTACGAATCTAATCATCGAAACTAAGCAATACTATCTGAAAAAATATAAAATTAATCCGAACGACATAAATAAATGTTACTGCTTACAAAATGTTAAAGAAAATGAAGAAGAAAAAAATGCTTATCTTTTTTTTATTTATTTGAATACTGTGTATGAATACGACATTGGAGTATTGACGCCATTTTTTTTGAACTGTATAAAATTGGAAAAGTATGGATCCGCATTCATTCCACCGGGAACACCTCATAGTTATGTTTCTGGAGATTGCATCGAAATTTTAGAAAATAGTGATAACGTTATTAGAGGCGGATTAACTCCAAAACATAAAGATATTAATTTATTTATTAAAAATATACAGTTTACGGAGATAATAGTTAATAAAAAATCAAATTCCCAAAACAATCTATTTTGTCATTCACTTGTAAATAACCATTGTCATGATTATTTCAAAATTTACCAAATAAATGCTGTTTGTGGTCTTCCAGTAGCTTTAGATAAATCTTTATTTAAAGAAAATCGACTATTTTTCTTACTTTGCTGTGATGGATCTGCTAATGTTAAACTGGATAATGATTTTAGTCTTAATTTGAAACACGGTGACTGTTTCTGTTTAATCGATTACAAGCCTATGGAAATTATGTCGACTTCTGGAAAATGCTCAATAATATTAGCGTTTTAGTTAATTTAAGTTAAATAAATATTATACGAGTAAACTTTCTAACTCTTTACAATACTTTTCTAATTGAAACTCTTTTGTTGAATGGCGATTTTTAATTTTTGACTCAGATTCTTTATTATTATCCAAATCATTGGTTGTTGTATCATTGTTTGCCACATTCTTGCGATCTGAATTTGGCTGTATAGAATTCATGGCTTTTAATTTTCCAATATTGTTGAGTGTTTGATAATATGAAAGTGTGCTGGTAGCTAACGTGGAAATATTACTAGTACTAATTAATATAGTTTTTTGTAGTTGTTTTATAGCGCAGTTTAGCAGCTTTCGGTTTGTTTTCCATACCGATAGTGTTTTTGTATTATCCAAAATACAAATAAAATATTGTTGTTGATTACTAGGCTCTAATGGCCAGCTGATAAACAGTGATTCTAGTATTTCTATTAAACATTTATCTTTTATTTCTTGTTTTGCTGATAAGACAGCGAAGATTGTGGGAACGATCGACTCGTGACTGTAGTTTTTCAAAAGAGGAATTAAGTATTTTATTATACATTTATCAGGTCTGTCAATATATGTGGTATATTTTTCTTTAAAACAATAGATAATAACTTCTAATAAACAGCCGATATTGATATAAGGATCCTTCTTTGAAGCAATTCTAACGAATATTTCAAAAATATTTAAAACACACTGATCCAATATATACTGGTGATTTTTATGCAAGGCATCCAGTAGTTTGGTCACTTCGCTTTTCATCGTGGGATAGCCAAATAATAACTGCTTTATAATAATTCTTGATATTGATATTTTATCGATTTTTTTTTTGTGAGATTTAAATTTTTCATTAACTTCTAAGAATGTTATCAACAATTTATTCAAAGTTTTGATTATTTCTACTCTTGTCTGACACGAAGTAGTTGAGGCAAGTCTTTTTTTGCCATAATATGTGTTAACCATAGCGTCTACACACGAATAATTTTGAGATAGCAGGTCATTGATATATTCACAAACTGCAAAACTTATATGTTTTGTTTTTACATTGCAGACAGATTCAAGAATATTAAGATTTATTTCTTCTAGTTTGCTGAACTCAGCGTGAGTTAAAGAATAATTGTACGTTGTTAAGATTGGTTCACTCATTAAGTTTTTTGAAAAAAGGAAAACCTCTTTTAGCGAAAAACATTAAACTTGTAATTATTATACACTGTCCTTAATAAGAAAACAAACACAAGTCGATTGTTTAAGCTCTAAAATCATTTTTTTTTAAGTTTATGTTTAGTGGCTTTCTTTACTAAGCAGCTAAAACTAAAAAGAAGCAAACCGACCATTATCTAAAATAATTAGCAACATAAACTTACGGTTAAAGTACTAGTCAGCACTAGACCAGCATAGTGTCTAGATCCAGACGGCAATAGAGTGGAAGGATTGTTGCTATAGCAGAAGTAAACATAAGGAATCTAATCTTTCTTGAGTATAAATTACTTACCAAAAACGTTGTTGCTGTTAACGAACTAACGAACACAATTAATATAAGAAACATCACAACGTACTATTTGCAATCTTGAAGACAAATTAAATCATCAAGTTATCTTTGCAACAGATTACTTATATTCATATATAATAAATTTATTTCAAAAAATAAATTAATTATAATTATCGGGTAAACGATGTTAAAACTTTTTATCAAGTGCTACTACATTGTTAATGAAAAATACACTTGAATTTTGTAGTCTTAACCAACTTGTTACAAAATTAACTTTAATAGCACTTCAAAATGAAATACACAAATTACATTTTGTCGTTTCTGTTGACGTAGATGCGATATACACTTCGCGATTTTTAGCTGAAATGTTTTTGAAAAATTATTCGTTGTCATCAGTTACATCTTATGCTATAGATTACTTCGACGTGTATCATGCATCTAAAGCTCCGCTTGATGAAAATAATTTGTTCTTGTTGATTGGACTAGGCAACAAAATTTTTGTTCCAGGTATTATCAACTTAAAAGATGTGATTTACTTCATTATAGACAATAAATATCCAATTTCTCAAGAATATTTTGAACTGGCAAGTAAAATTCCGTTTACTATATATTTGTTTGTCAACAAAAATCATTTCTTAGAAAATAATATTATCAACACTGACTTTGAAAACATGTCTAGCTATAATGATTTATTTACGGATAGTTTAGATATGGATAAACAGAATGTATTTGTTGACTATCCATTATGTTATCAAATTATAAGCATAATAATTAATGAGAAAGCCCTATCTTTGCCTTTTGTCGTTGCATGCAGTATTAGTTTAGCAAATTCTGTACTGCTTGGTCATTTAGCTTACTCTAAGTATCATCTATTAATAAATAGTTTGTGTGACTTGAGTGAAGAATATGTAAAATCTGAATCTGATTTGCTTTCGTTCGCGCTGTACAGATTCAACTCATTTTTTTATGAATACTGTTCTATAGAAATAATTTACAAACTGTTATTATTAACCTTCGATGATAAAATGACGATCGATAATACAATACTCAACAATTATTTGGAACGCATCAAAACTAACCTTCAGTTATCAACAAAAGATTTCAAAGACAAGAACTATATCCCAATGAATCCTGGCAAAAACATTGTTGACAAAATTCTTAAATTATTTAAGTCTAAACAAAACTCAAAAATAAGTATGTTTATTATAAGAAACTTAGATGCTAACATTAAACTATCTAACTTCGATTTAGCAATTGCCGTAAATTATGAGCTTTATTATGCTTTGTCCTACCAATCGTCGATTTTTTCTACTAATAACAAAGATTATATTACAAACATAACAAAAGTTCAAGTTCAATGCTACAAAATAAACTCTTTACTTAATAAATTGTGTACTAACAAGTTAGAATCACATGTAGGACACAACTTGATATCAGACAGTACAAGCATGCTTAAAACCATTGTTTCTATCATTCGTGAACTGCTGATTTCCAGAAAATATAATAAATTTGATGGCATTAAAAATTCAATTGAGATTTATACATTATCAGTGAACATATACGGATACATCTGGCATTGGTGTACGTTTGCTTGTGCAGTTTTTACGAGACTTATTAGTGAAAACTTGGCTGCATTACCATTAAGTGTCGTGCTACAGATATCTGCGTCAAACGACCACATCGGAGTCATATTTCATCAGACTGAGACTGATATAAAACACTCGTACGGTTTTCAACTCAACAAGATCATGAAAAAGATGAAAGATTCAATTAAAATTAAATATTTTGGATTAAATGATAATATTATATTTATCGGGTCTAACCATTTAAAAATTTTTAACAATCTTCTAATTGAATGTTATAAAATAAACTAGGCCTTGTTAATGTATAATTATGTAACAGAAAAAAATTAATGATAAACCTTGGGGCAGGCATATGGTTTAGTGTGGCTTCGAGGAATACCAGGAGCAACTCCAAAGTGTTTTTCAGCCTCGCGATGTTTGGTATTACCACGAATCAAAACACAGTTCTTGCCTTCAGGAGTAATTAAGGCTAATTCATCAAAAGTCATAGCTTTGCCGCCGGCTTCAATAATTCGGCGTTTTGCGGAGTTAGTAAATCTTAAAGCGCAAACGTTTAAACAAGGAACATCTTTGAGTAAAACATCGTCGGTGACAGTTGCTACAACACAGAAAATTTGGTTTTGATTTTCGGTTGGGCAAAATTTTGCAAGTTTAGACAAAGACACTGGAGCCTTGTTTCTCTTTGATAAAATTAGACGCTTGGCAACAACTTTGTTGAATCTAGAGTTGGTTCTTCGAGCTAAAAAATTATAAATTTCGCTCAAACCCTTTAATTGGGGGTTTGGAGACACACATTCAGTTCTTCCTCGGACTTTCTGGTTTCGGATTTGACGTTTAGGGATGTCTATTGCCTAAAATAACTTTTTTCGACCTTATTTCGTACTTACCATGATGTTTACCGAATTTCTTTTGAAGAAAATATAATTGAGAAGTCGTTACGTCTATATTAAAATAAATTTTTATTTTATATCAAAATACTCAATAAATAAAAATAATTGATTTAATTTATTGTTGAATAAGAGAAATCGTCAGCAATTAAATTTGGAGATTTCAACAGTTTTTTTTCGCTAGCCACGGTAAATGTCAAAGCTTTATTTAAAACGTACTTCTTGCTTTGGTCGCATATAGCAATGTTTTCGTTATCTAAAAATATATAAGGGGCCTTTAAATTTGAAATTTTTAACGTGACACCTATATTTTCTTTTAGATCAAAAACAAACAAAACATCTCGCGAAAACGCAAAAATGTTTGTGCCGAATTTTTGCATGAGCGATATCGGCGCGTCTAACATCATAAAGTAGTTCAAAACGATACAATTATTTTTTGTCTCTACATAATAAATATTTCCAAGAGTGTTTGAAACCAATGCTCTTTCTCGATCGAGTTTTATTAGCGAAGTATAAGTTCCAAGCGGAAGTTCTAAAGATTGTAGTAAGGTACATTGATTACTAGCATACGGAACGAGTTCTGAATAGCTGTACAGGTTCAACCTTTGTTTATTGCAGTTATAGATCTGCTGCGTCTCAATGGTTAAAACGTGTTTAAATTCTTCAAAAATCAAGAAATCTCTAATGGTCCATCGATTTTGGATTTTGTTGTTGTCAGGGACCCAAGCGTTTTTATTACATAAGGATAAATTGGTTTTTCTTAGCTCTTTTTTCGAGCCCAGTGTGATAGTTCCTGGATGAGAGTATATTGAATTTGTATTGATAATTGAAGTGGCTGCAGTATCAAATCCGAACGAAAGCTTTTGCATTTTGATGCGGAAGTCAGTTGAATGGAAAGATTTTTCATACGACTTCTCGTTTGTAAAGAAATCAAATGCCATCTGCATCCAACAAAATGTACTTATCACAGGTTTCGAGGCAGACCTGTAAATATATGTAAACTTATTCGTAACGTAATTTAGCAAAGCGACGTTTTGGTCCACTGTGTATAGCAATAATGTGTGCCGCGAATAAAACGTTATGAATAATATTGGAGTTATATTATTAACTTGATAATATTCAGAGCGTCTCTCGCTAAATGGAAAAAAGCATTGAATAACGCCTTCATTTCCAACAGATAGCACAGAGGTATCTTCCTCATTGTGAGCGAGAGCAAGCACTGAAGAAGAGTGCCAATGTTTAAACACAAAAGTGTTCATCTTAGGTCTGCCAGCCGCATCGACGTTTTTGGCATTTCTGTCAAACATAATGTAGAGAATTTTTCCAGACGTAAACGCAATCGCGATGAGTGTGTCATCCTTATTTGTAGATATGCTACATGGAACAGAAGCTTCAGCAATAGTTATCGTGTAAACAGCCCCATCATGACAAACAATAGTAATTAGATATTCATCGAGAACTAAAGCTTTTCTCGAAATCTTGTCTAACGAAACTTTTTTGCCAGATATGATGTAAGCGGCCGATGCAGTTATGCTTGAACAGACTAAAGTGGACTTCAGGTAAAATTTAACTTTGGTTTTTTTTTCGACAAAGTCGTGCGTTTTTAACGATATCATTCCATTTTTAAAATCAATATAGTATAGTAAACTAGGACTAATAAAACAGAAATCCGCAGCGTTGTTGACACTCAGCGTGCTTGTTTGAACAACCCCGTGAGGTTCGTCAACGTTAAATAACATTAACTGATTAGTTGTTTGCAAAATGAAGGCATAGCTATTTTTTTTGTTATTATTATTGGGGAAAAATACTCCACTAATTTGCAATATAGATTCTTCGTTTTCGTACAGCTGAGTTAATTGTTTATTTGCAAAATAATAAACACGATTTTCAGCTGCAAAAAGGCAACTTTTGTCATTTGGATTTGCAACAAGTAGTTTATTTATCATATCATTGCTGAAGATATACAGATAATATTTTTAAAGCTTCTAAAAAAATATTCGAGTTTTCAAAATTAATTATCTAACCAATATTAATACCTTATAATTGACTATCATATTTTTTTTTTGAATTTCAGCAGATATTTCGGACCGAATAAGCTGTATTAACATTTTTCTTGCATTAAACTTACAGTTTTTTGTATTCGGCTAAACTAATAATCTTGTTGATTTCGTTTTCTCTCAATAGCAAATTTATATCATTTATATTTACTTTTTCTCCTATCTTGGTTAAGAAACGAACTAAATCGTCCTTAATAATTCCTCCTTGAGTAAGTGAAGCAAGTACTTCGTAGTCCTTTTCTACTCTTTTGCTATCTGGGTCGCCCCATGTGGTAACGTTTACCAGCTCGACAAACTCGCTCTCTGATAAAACAGTTTTATTTAGATCACAAATAATGTTGTAATATTCATGTGGAAGCAGCGTGCAATTGAGCATTCGCATCATTTCCACTAAATGTTTCACATCTACAGATTCAGTTTCCGGGTCGCAAAATAAATTAAATACGGTTTTTATTTCATCTTCCGCAGACGGTTGCGTGTTGCTAATCATTGATCGTTAAATGTACGCATTGTGATGTTTTCAGGTGTTAAAATTTGATCAAAAATTTTGCGACATTCGTATTTTTAAAAAATATTATTTATATTAATCTCTTTAATACAAATGATTTAGGTGTGTATTTTCTGTAATAATTAATTTAGTTATACAAAGTTGGACTCAATAGGTATTTTATAATGTCTAAGCCTGAACTTTTATGTGAACCAAGCAATTTTATCGAATTCATAGGAGATCAAAACTCTGAAATCTTTTCGACGTTAAAATTGACCAACAACAACAGTTACAATGTAGCTTTCAAGATAAAAACGACTTCTCCTCCCAACTATGTGGTTAAACCGTCATCTGGTGTTATTCCATCAAACACTAGTTTGGTAAGTAGATTAAACAACAATATTTGTTAGGAAATCAACATTATAAAAGTACCTTTACAAATCGAACAAAAAAATTCAAAACACAGATTTCAGATAATCGCTACAAAAACCGGAGAATTAAAGCCACTCAGCAAAAGCGAATGGGCTGAAATAAGCTCAAACAATTTCTGGGAACATAAACTATGTGTCAAACCAATGATTGAATCGTCCGACGATTCCACACACACACAAGTTATGAAATTTTTATCTGAGAACATCCCAGAAGATTATAACACATTAAAAAAGTCGTTTATAGAATTAGCTAAACTCGCTGGTACGCTAGAGCACGCAAACAACGAACTAAAGTCTCAACTTGAGCTCAAAAATTTCACAACTAAAGACAAATATTCTTCGCGATATATGGAAACCACTTTCTCTGACAAGTGGAAAATTGCATTATTGCTGTTAATTATTGCAATTATATATACATATTACTCCAGAAAATAACTTTGAAATAAACGAGCCTACACATTTCCATTCGTGTTATCTTGTATTTTTTTTAATATTATACAGTATCGACCATGTTTTTTAGATACACGCTCAAATATGGGTGCATAAAGCAACTTGAGTCTAGCAGGAACGACTGATAAAATTTTGTCAAGAGAGAATCCGTAAACTTCTCCTTCAGGCACTAAAAATGCCAAAAGTCCGTCCACGACAAGAACGCGAATTGCTATATTAAATAGTTTTTTATAAATATCCTGAGCAAATTCACGCTTATTGCTGTTTTCTACGCAGATCGCAGCTCGCAATCCGTATGGAGGATCTGTAACGATGATATCGGCAGATTCATCCTCTAATGGAGAATTGTCAATGTCGCAATTGTACATTACAGGTTTGGGCAGTCCATATGTGTCGAAATTCACCAGTAAATTTTTTTCACTAAAGTCGCTGTCTCCGCTTTCATTTCTTCGGTAACAAACAGCTTTGCCTTCAAGCATATTTGCATCTATATCTGATCCAATAGTTTTACAGCCAATAGCCGCAAATGGAATAAGCATGCCGCAAGATCCGCAAAATGGGTCATAAACAGTCATTTCTGATTGCGCATTAACAATATTCATTATTAAAAATGAAAGGTCATTATTGAGCGTTGTAGGACCTAGTATTTTTCGTTCATTCAGCAAAAAGTTAGACGAAAGTTTGCCCCTTTTTTCAAATTGTGCGACAACTCTGCCGAAAACGACATGAGAGGGTGCTTGCGCATCGACTTCATAGACAGAAAAGATAGTTAACTTAATCGACGGATCTTCCAATTTGATAGTTTCTAAATAGTTAAAATAACGATCAAACCGTTCGATAATAGACAATTTATCAGAGTACGATATTTTAAAGCAACAAGTCTTAATATACCAACAATAAGAACGATCTAGCGTGGAACTCAAGTGATAATTTATTTTTTTTTTTAAATCATCGGCGTTGTTTTTTATTTCCAATTCCAACTGGTCAAGATTTCCACAAACAGAATATCTCTCTATCACTAACAAGGTTGAAACTGATCTCCAGACAATATTTTTGGCCCACTCTAAGAAAAATTCTCGTGAACAGTAACAAGACCCTGTTATCAGTTTATTTGTAGCCAATTCAAAAGTAAAATTACTGGGAGAAAGCGCTTTGAGCTCAACAAGCCAAAAGTTTCGAAATCGCAATTTGTCTGAAAGTATTATGCAAAAATTTATTTCTTCCATATCTCACCTTTACTTATTCATACGGTTCACAGTTTTTTACCTTAATTTTGCTTTAATACTCAAAAAGACCAACCTACTATCCTTTCTATTTTATTAGCTTTTTTATTTTTACAACAATTTTCATCAACACAAATATACAAATTTATTTTTTCATATTGCCAGTTTTTGCCGATTTTGCCGCAGTTGTTGCAATTGACATTGTTTTTTCGATCTGCTAAAACATCTAGCAAGAACATCTTTAAGTCTTCGGCTTGAATACGAGTTTCAGTTTCTTCGTAATTTTTTGTGCTCAATATTGACATATAAGATTGACTTTCGTCGTTTCGAACAAAGTTAATAATTTTTGTTGAACTATATTCGTTTATTAAGTTTGCATTGTTTGTTTCACTTTTGCTTAGTTCATTTTCACGTTGTGCTTGGATTGAATTAGATTCATTCAATAAAACAATGTTACTTATTTCCAAGAAACCAATAAATGAGTGCATTTTTGAGCATTCAGCATTGCTACAAAAGAAAAATAAATAGTTGTTTTTTTTTGTTTTTACTAAAGTGGTATTGTTGCCTTGAACGCTGCAGTCACCGCAAACAATCAAACCTTTTTTTTC